CTCCCCCTCCTCCTCTTCCTCCTCCTCCTCCTCCTCCTCCTCCTCCTCCTCCTCCTCGGCTGGCGTTTCCCTTGGAAGTGTCGCCCCCGCACAGCAGTTGCGAGCTTGACTCGTGCCTTCGATGCCTCAGAGGCGACGCCTGGGCACCTGCTGGCGGAGGTGGTGTCCGTGGAGCCCCTGGCGGCACCGTTGGCCACTCTGCCGGGCCAGCCCGAGGCGCTGCTCGCGAGGACGCTGGGCGCGCAGCGGGCGTTGAAGACGATGTCCCCGAGGCCGTCTGTGATGGGTGGTCCCCTGGGCGACGCCAGCGAGCCGGAGCCTCCGCCTGACTTTGATCCAGGGCAGTAGGCCTTTGTGTTGCGTGCTGCCGCCTGCACCCCAGACCCCCTCGCGCTCGGAAAAAATCACGACCGTAGGGTTTCTGCTATTATTTTCGGCCTCCGGGGGCCCTTTCCGGGCCTCGGGACAGTCAACAAAACGATTCGGGAGGAGAAACCGGTCTTGGGGAAGGGGTCCAGACCTCTGGGGGTCGGCGTTGTGCACAAATCACGACGTCGGGGGTCTGGGACAGGGGGCCGCCTGGGCGACGGCGCAGCCGCCAGCCTCCGTGCACCTCTGCGAGCGGCGACCTCTGCAAGAGGGCATCTCGTGGGCAACGTCAGTGTGGTCTGACCTACCCTCATCCCCACTGCGCCATTGTACCTCATTCCCACCAGCCTCGCCTCCCAGGTGGGAATAGGCCCCGCGAAACGAGCAGGCATACATCCAAACCTGGCCGGGTAAGCCCGCTGGTTGGGCTCAGGCCATGCCAGTGGGGATATCGATCTGACAAGCGATGCTTACAACGGCTGGTTGCTTTCACTCGGCGGCGCGCTTGGGGGGAAGTGAAATGGGGCGGGCCTTCTCAGAAGGCTCGGAAGTTACCCAGCCTTCTGAGACGTTTGCTAAACAAAACACTTCTCAGAGGGCCGGAGGGCTTCCGAGAAGCCCCGCCGCCTTCTGAGAAGGCCTCATCCTTCTCACCTCCCCCCCTCGCTCGCCGCCGATTCACTGCCTGTCTTCAAAGCTTATCTTGGGGCATGTTCTTGTTCCCGCGTAGTTTGATCCTCTGTTTGAGGCGCGTGCCCGAGGGTAGATTCCTCCTCCTCCTCCTCCGCATCCTTCTCCTCCACCTCCTCCTCCTCCTCCTCCTTCTGATCCTCCCTCTGCTACCCGTGGTAGTGGTGGTGGTATAACTCCGCGCTTCCGTGGCCGCTCAGGGCGACCCAGGGGCACCCGAGGGCAGAGAGCTGCCAGGACATCACGAAAGCGCCTGACCACCTCGAGCCCGACACCACCCCGACAGCCTTGGCGACTCCATCTTTTCGAGCCGGGCGTCTTCGTATCCGTTCGAGCCCCTGGGACCCTCGCAGATCGATCTGGCTCGGAAAATGGCTCAGAAAGATGAGGTCTACACCTTAGGCGATGCTTAAGAAAACCTAAGTTTTCGGCCAGAGGCTTGATTATTCTTAATGTTTCAATGTAAATCCTAAGATTGTAATAGAAATGTTGGGTTTTAGTTCAAATTCTGAGACGATGAATTTCTTAACCCATGATTTCTTGAGCATTTCGCAGGGTGTAGGGCTCCAGGCGTGATTTTTCACGGCGTTTCCATTCGTTTGAGACGTCGGCTCTCGGGGTACGAAAGCCGCCAGCGAGCTGCGAGACGCCCCGCTCGCCGCCGAGGCACGGGCACCTCGGCGGCGATTCGCTGCCTATCCTCGAACCTTTCTGCTGTTGCATGGTCTTGTTCCCGCGTAGCTTTAAGTCGGGCCTGTCCCTCTACAGGAGGAGTGTTCAAAAATGGTCCAAAAATAGCCTGGGGACGATTTTTTGAACATTCCTGAGTTTTTTCATATGGTTTCGATTGCGTTAGATTCCTGTTGTCCACAATCCCCCTGTAGGGGGACAGGCCCGACCTAAGCGTACGTAGCTGGCTCGCCCCTCACACGTTTTGTGGCCCCCTGAGGGGCTCTACCTCAGGCCCTAGTGGCAGCGCCCGCATGGCGGCGCCGCCTCCTCTCGGCACACCCTTCACACGCTTCGTGGCCCCATGAGGAGATCCACCGAGGGCGATGCCCACAACGATGGTGCTCACAACTGCAAATGCTTAGGCCCTTCGCCAGGGTGATTGGCATGTTCTTGTCCCCGCGCAGCTTGCTCATCCGCTTGCTAGGCGCGGATGCCCGAGAGGGCCCGCGTCCCCGCTGCCATGACCGGCGCTTTTCCCCGTGCCGCCCGTGCTTTCGCACGCTCGCGGCGCACGCGCGCCAGCCGTGCGTCGTGCCGGCACGGCAGCTGTGGACCGCACGCTCGCAACCACACGCGTTAGCGTGCCAGCTTGTCGTGGGCATCGCACGTTCGATGCGCACGCGCGCCGGACGGTGCCGTGCTGGCACGGCAGAGGCAGTCGGCAGGGGTTCCCCCCGAGGTCCCAAGACCCCCTCGCGTCACGAGAAACTCACTTGGGGCCCAGGCCGGGCCTCGGGGCCGTCAAAGAACGATTCAGGATGAAACGCCACTCCTCAGAGCCCCGAATCATCAGGGGTAACTCGGGTCAGGGCTAACTCGGGTTCGTTTTTCGGGATTCCGAACCCGACTTACCCCGGACCCGAGTTACCCCGGATAATTCGGGCGTCCAGAGCCCCGAATCATCAGGGGTAACTCGGGTCAGGGCTATCTCGGGTTGGTTTTGTCGGGATTCCGAACCCGAGTTACCCCGGACCCGAGTTACCCCGGATAACTCGGGCGCCCAAACTCCGGGGGAACGTGTCCAGACCGCTGAGGGTCCACGTTATGAGCAAATCATGAAGTCGGGGGTCTGGGGCCAGGGGAGGAGGAGGAGGAGGAGGAGGAGGAGGAAGAGAAGGAGGGGCAGGAGAAGAGAGGGGATGAGAGTTTTGAGAAAGAACGGGATGAGACGGAGAAGGAGTGAAAAGAGGAGGAAAAGGAAGATGAGGAGGAGGAGGAGGAAGAGGAGCAGGAGGATGAGGAGGATAAGGAGGAGTGGGTGGGATGATGAGGAAAGGGAGGCCGAATTGGACGAGGAGGGCGAAGAGGAAAAGGGGGATCAGGATGAAGAAGAGAGGATGCCGTTGCTGCTGCTGCTGATGGTGGTGGTGATGTGGTGGTGATGATGAGGCGGGGGAGGAGGAGTTGGAGGAGGAGGAGGAGGAATGCCAGATCGCACCCAGAATGCATCAACGATGCTGCAGTACGCCCGAACACCCTCCGTCCCAGATCAAGCCTAGAATACATCAACGATGCTGCAGTACACCATCCGTCCCAAGTCCGTTCACAAACCCCTTCAAGCGTTCCTTTTCATTACCAGGAGCGCTCCCAGGAAAGGTGAGCGCCGCATGGCCTTGCCAATTAGCTACGAACTCCGACACGGAAATTAGTCGCCCGCCAGATTAGTGGCTCTTAGAAGCGCAGGAAAGCCGATAAGTTGCTCATATAGTGCAAGGGAACGTCCACTTGTAGCATCACTTGATAAAGAAGCACTGCCAATCCGTTCGGTCGTGCCGACATCGTACCTGACAGGCCACCCGGTGTATCGGGTGCTCATAGTTGGTGGGCCCTCGCTCTGACTGCGCAGCGCCTTCTCCCGCCTCTCGCCCCCCCTCCTATGCCCACCTCTGCTCTCCGCGTCGTTAATTTGTCACGCCGCTCACACGGATCATTCCCCACAGAGAGTTCCACCTATTGTCTCGGCGAGGGGGTTCGCAGAGTGCCCCGTCCACCCCCCCCTTCTGTGCATTCTGTCGCACCACTCGCGCCAGATCGTGCCCCACAGGGAGCTCCATGTATGGTCCCAGCGAAGGAGCCCGTCCGTTCATTGCGACACACTCCTCAAGCGGGTGGCGCCGTTGCGCCCCATAAACAGCTCCCAGGATGGTCCCCTCGAGGGATCTCGCAGAGCACCCCCTCGCGCATGTCGGGACGACCCTCTCGCGGAGATCATGCCCCACGGGGAGCTCCAGCCTTGATGGTCCCAACGGGGGAGCGCATAGCCTCCGCCTGTACACTGCAGCGCAGCCCTTACGCAGATCGCACCCCATCGGCAGCTCCACCTTCTCTTCCCGTGGGGGGAGAGTTCTCACAGCGTTTCTCTTGGCCCATTTTGCAAGGATCTCCACGTGTGGCCCCAGCGAAGCAGTTCGCAGAGCCCCCCCCGCGCATTGGCTGCATAGTATGAGTACTCGCCCAGATCGTGGCCCATAGGTCCAGGATCGAAGCGTAGTAGCAGCAGTACACGGCGGCCTTTGAAAGTAGGTACTAGTGGACGCCAGGTCCCAATCTACTTTGGGCGCCTTCCTACTTCAAGGATCGATCTTATCTTGCTGTGCGTTCTTATTCTCTGCGAGGGCCTTGACCCAATCTGGCTTATCCGCCTTACTGCTTCATGCTTGGTATTTCTTCCAGCCGACGTGTAGTAGCAGTAGTAGTCGTAGTAATCGTCATTGTATCAATGGTAGTAGTATGAGCAGTACCAGTAGTAGCAGTAGTAGTAGTAGTAGTAGTAGTAGTAGTAGTAGTAGTAGTAACAGTAGTAGTAGCAGTAGTAGTAGTAGTAGTAGTAGTAGTAGTAGTAGTAGAAGTAGTAGTAGTAGTAGTAGTAGTAGTAATAGTAGTGGTAGCAGTAGTAGTAGTAGGAGTAGTAGTAGTAGTCGTCGTAGTCTTACTGCTACTACTTCGACTACTACTACTACTACTACTACTACTACTACTACTACTACTCGTACTACTACCGATACGACTACAACAACTACTACTACTACTGCTACGACTACGGCTACTTCTACTACGACTTCTACTACGACTACTACGGCTACTACGACTACTACTACTACTACTACGACTACGGCTAGTTCTACTACGACTTCTACTACGGCTACTACTACTACTACTACTACTACTACTACTAATACTACTACAACAACTACTACTACTAGTGCTTTTACGACTACGACGACGTAGTAGTAGTAGTAGTAGTAGTAGTAGTAGTAGTCGTTGTAGTCGTATTCGTAGTCGTAGTCGTAGTAATAGTAGTGTAAGCAGTAGACGTAGCAATAGTAGTCGTAGTAGTGGTAGTAGTAGTAGTAGTAGTAGTAGTAGTAGTGGTGGTATTAGTCGTGGTAGTAGTCGCATGCGTAGTCGCAGTAAGGGAAATAGTTGTGGTAGTCGTAGCAGGTGCAGTCGTAAGAGCAGTGGTCGTAGTAGTACTAGTAGTAGTGATAGTAGTAGTAGTAGTAGTAGTAGTAGTAGTAGTAGTAGTAGAAGTAGTAGTAGTAGTAGAAGTAGTAGTAGTAGTAGTAGTAGTAGTAGTAGTAGTCGTATGCTGGTAGTAATCGTAGTCGCAGTAGTAGTCGCAGTAGTAGCCGTAGTAGTGGCAGTAGTGGTTGTTGTTGTAGTGCAGCAGTCGTCGTAGTTGTAGTTCCCGTAGTAGTCGTCGTCGCAGTAAAAGTGGCAGTAGCAGTAGTGGTATAGTAGAAGTAGTAGTAGTTCAAGTAGTAGCAGTAGTAGTTGTAGAAGGATTGTACTAGTAGTGCTAGTATCGGTAGTAGAAGTACGAGTAGCAGAAGTACAAGTAGGAGTAGCAGTAGCAGTAGGAGTAGTACTCTGCGTAGTCACAATCGTAGCCGTAGCAGTGGCAGCAGTCGTAGTAAACGTTGTGATAGTAGTAGTTTGGGTCGTAGTCGTAGTCGTAGTCGTAGTAGTAGTAGTAGTAGTAGTAGTAGTAGTAGTAGTAGTAGTCGTAGTAGTAGTAGTAGTAGTAGTAGTAGTAGTAGTAGTAGTAGTAGTAGTAGTAGTAGTAGTAGTAGTAGTAGTAGTAGTAGTAGTAGTAGTAGTAGTAGTAGTAGTAGTAGTAGTAGTAGTAGTAGTAGTAGTAGTAGTAGTAGTAGTAGTAGTAGTAGTAGTAGTAGTAGTAGTAGTAGTAGTAGTAGTAGTAGTAGTAGTAGTAGTAGTAGTAGTAGTACTAGTAGTAGTAGTAGTAGTGGTCGTAGTAGTAGTAGTAGTAGTAGTAGTAGGAGTAGGAGTAGTAGTAATAGTAGTAGTAGTAGTAGTAGTCGCATTTGTTGTCGTAGTCTTAGTAGTAGGGGTCGTAGTAGTAGTAGTAGTAGTAGTAGTAGTAGTAGTAGTAGTAGTAGTCGTAGTCGTGGTAGTAGTAGTGGTCGTACGATTAGTAGTAGTAGTCGTAGTAGTAGTGGTAGTAGTAGTAGTAGTAGTAGTTGTGGTCGTGGTCGTAGTTGTGGTAGTAGTGGGAACTTCTCCGGCATAGTCGTGAAAGCAGTCGTCTTCGTAGTAGCCGTAGAAGAAGTAGTAGCAGTAGCCATAGCCGTAGTAGTAGTCGTTGTAGTCGTAGTCGTATTGGTAGTCGTAGAAGTGGTTGTAGTAGCATCAGCAGCATTTCTAGTAGCAGTAGTAGTAGCAGTAGTAGTGGTCATAGTAATAGTAATCGTAGTAGTAGTCGTAGTAGTAGTCGTAGTAGTAGTAGTAGTAGAAGTAGTAGTAGTAGTAGTAGTAGTAGTAGCAGCAGTAGTATTAGTAGTAGTAGTAGTAGTAGTAGTAGTGGTAGTGGTAGTGGTAGTGGTAGTAGTGGGAGAGGTGGACGTAGTCGCAGGCATGGTAGTAGTCGTCGTAGTAGTAGTAGTAGTAGAAGAAGAAGTAGTAGTAGTAGCCGTCATAGTTGCAGTTGCAGCGTAGGTAGTAGTTGCAGCCGTAGTAGTATTAGTAGTAGTCGTAGTCGTTGCAGTATTAGTAGTAATAGTAGTAGTCGTAGTACTGGGACTAGCCGTAGTAGTAGACGTAGTTATAGTAGTGGTAGTCGGCGTTGCCGTGGCAGTAGTAGTTGTGGTGAACGTCGTAGTAGTCGTATTCGTAGTAGTTGTAGTAGCAGTAGTAGTCGTAGCAGTAGTAGTGAGAGTAGTAGCAGTAGTAGTAGTAGTAGTAGTAGTAGTAGTAGTAGTAGTAGTAGGTGCTGTAGCCGTAGAATTCGTAGCAGTAGTGGTAGCAGGTAGTAGTAGTAAAAGTAGTAGTAGTAGTAGTAGTAGTAGTAGTAGTCGTAGTAGTAGTAGTAGTAGAAGAAGTAGTAGTAGTAGTAGTAGTAGTAGTAGTAGTAGTATTAGTAGTAGTAGTAGTAGTTGTCGTAGTAGCAATAGGGGTAGTAGTACTCGTCGTCGTGGTCGTAGTTGCAGCCGTAGTCGTAGTAGTAGTAGTAGTAGCAGTAGTACTAGTAGGTAGAAGAAGAAGGAGTAGCCGTAGACATAGTAGTATTAGCAGATGTCGCAGTAGCCGTAGAAGTAGTAGTAGTAGTCGTAGTGGTAGCCGTAGTCGTAGTAGTCGTAGTAGAAGCAAGAGTCGTAGTAGTAGTAGTAGTAGTAGTTGTAGTAGTAGTAGTAGTAGTAGAAGTAGGGGTCGCAGTCGTAGTCGTCGTCGTAGTGGTAGTAGTAGTCGTAG